AAGGTGGAATGCAACTTAATTAGTGCAATTTATGTGGTATGAGTAATAGGGGTGTACATGGGTCGGGTGGTTCGGGTTTAGTCATTTTAATCACCCGATCCATGCACTACGGTTTGGGAAATATCAAACCCAAACCCACCCAAAAAAATTTAAATCCTACGGTTTGTTTCTAATTGGGTTGGGTCGGGTTGACGATATTTTTAAGTAAAAACCCAACCCAACATAAAATATATAATTATTCTATATCATAAAAATATTTTATAACTAATTAAAATTTCAAACGAATGAACCGAGGTGAAAGGTATCAAAATTCACAAATGTTGTTTGAATTTTAATAAAATGTGATCTACTTCTACATATGTCTTGTTTTTTTCACAATATTTGTTGAAATAGGCTAAAAATGTTATAAACAAACGCATCCATAATATGTTATTCTATTAAAATTGTAGACAAGAAAAAGGATTACGTGAATCATAACTATATTCAATTTATGTCTAAACTTTAAATAGAAGAATGAATTAGATTAGGGAGACCATGAGCGAAAAATATGCCGAAATATCTGAATTTTCTCATAAGTATAATACTATATACGACATAAATATTTTTTTGATTCGAACTCATACTAATAGTAGGAACACAGGTTGGGTCGGGTTCTACGGGTTGTGTAATCCAAAATCCAAACCCAACCCAAAAGAGGCGGGTTGTACAAAAGAAAACCCTCACCCAACCCAAAACCTTCGTTTTAGCGATAAAGACGGGTGGGTTGAGTCGGATTGGACGGGTGGGTCGGTTTGCGGGTGTGTTTGTTCACCCCTAATGAGTAATATGTGGTGTCGATCTGGAGCAGGGACAAGAATAAAAAATAAAGAAAAAGCCCCAAATCTACTCTGAAGCTTTTAGAGACGCTTTGGCAACAGTCGCTAAAATCCGTCGCTAAAATCCGTCGCTAAATAATTTGATTGTAATAACCTGTTGTTAGCACTTGGCAGTTAGCAGGGGTTTAGAATTTGATGCAGAACCCCAACAATGACATCCACCAGCGGTTTACAGAGTGCTGCCGTAATCTTGCAACGGTTTTGTAGGGGTTGCAAAAACCCCTGCCAGATCTCCCCCAGCGAGGGTTTTAACTTTTAATGTGTGCTAAAATCCAAAAAATCCCCTGTCGTAGCCACTTTACCTTGTAGTGAATATGACTAAGCCAATACAAATTATTTCATTTTAAATTGATTTGAATTGACAAGGTGAAAAAAAAAATATTTTAAAATAATACATCAATTGTGAGATGAGATAATCTCAACTTAATTGGAAACAACCCCTACAATTCCCCTACTCATTACCACCATGAACCATGAACGCTCTCTCGAATCCTTCAAACATATTAGATTGGAAGAGGGAAAGATTAAGTAGCCCAAATTTTTATATCATGTCACATTCTCCACATGACGCTTTAAACTATTAATAAACCAACATGGTGGCCCACTTTCAACTAATAATTCCCGGAAACAACTCCAGCAACAATACACAAAATCTGTTATTTGACCCCAAATAACATGTTTGGCTGACAAAAAATGGGATGTGTTATTTGGATGTAGTGTTTTGCCAAATAACAGGTTTGAGACCAAATAACACAAAAAGTGTTGTTTGCCAAATACTTGGGAGGGGGCAGGTATTTGCCAAATAACAAGTTTGAGACCAAATATCACATACCAAATAACAGGTTTTATATTATGTGGTATTTGTGTAGTAATTGGCCCCAAACAAAAAGTTTGTCAAATACTCAATCCAAACGACCCCAAAAGCCATTTAAAATAGGTTTCATATCATCGTTTCACATGACTTGGGATTGAAATGTGTGAATCCAACACCCACTTGCCATTTCTTTAGCACTATATATTTTGTTTCTACACAAACTCTCTGAACTCTGGCTTAGGATAGGGTGAGTAACCCTTTGTTACTCACCCGTGAGTAACCACTTTAGGACCGTAGATCTGGGCCGGGCTGATCGTGTGGCTGTGGTTGATGCGGTGATGGTCAGGGGCATTTTTGTCCTGTTTTTGAATTTTATTTCTTGTCTTTTTCTACTTTTCTAGCATTTATATTATTACTTTTACGGAGGAAAGAGAAACCAGACTTTTCACTTCCTCCCTCTTTTCTCTTTCCCTTCCTCTCTTCCTTCTCTCTTCCAAACTCCTTTTCCCAGATCAAGATATGTTCCTTTCTTTTGTTCTTTATTTTTTCTTCAACAATTGACAAAGAAAAATTGCAGCATCATGCCTCAAAATCTGTTGACGCTCCAAATCCTTCTTTGCAGCTGCTTCTTCCTTATGTTCTTTCTTTTCTCGGCCTCAAAATAGATGACGTTTCATATTGACCAAGAGGGGACGGATCTATGTGAGTTAAGTTTGCATGTTTTATATTTTAGTATTTGTTTGTGAATTTTCAATTCCGATCTTTCTCCTCTTATTTTGTTGCATTTGGTGTTCTTGATTGCGGAGGAGAAATTAGAGGAACAGAAGACGAGTTTTTTTGATTCTCCCTCCTTCTGTTTTTCTTCCTTTTAGGTAATATATATTGATATTACCACACTATATCATATGGTAATGTGTGATAACTAAATGTATCTTTATGGTCACGAGTTTTATCATGGTGGTAGTGGGCGGTAATCGACTCCAGTTCTGAGAAAAAAGAGTTAGAAGACAATGAAGTTGGAGAAGAAAGTGAAGAGAGTCGTAATTGTATATATATACCGAGATTACTACACTATACCATATGGTAATGTGTATATACCATATGGTGATGTGTATATACCACACTATACCATATGGTAAAGTGTATATACCATATGGTAAAGTGTCTATACCATATGGTAAAGTGTCTATACCATATGGTAAAGTGTATATACCATATGGTAAAGTGTCTATACCATAGGGGTGGGCATCCGGTTCGGTTTTAACTCTCCGAACCGAACCGAACCGAAGCCGAACCGACCGAAACCGAAGTTCTCACTATTCGGATCGGAAATCGGAAAGGAAATACTCTTAATTCGGAATACAGAGTATGCCAACCGAACCCGAAATTCCGAGTTCCGAACCGATAAACCGAAAATGCATACCCAACTACCACATCCTGCCAGGCCCAACAAATTAAAGAAGCCCAGCTGAGGGTCAAGCCTAGCAACCGAGACTCAAATTGAAGGCCCCCTCCTCCAGAATCCAAAGAAAGAACCCAACAATAACAAAACCTAATCCTAATTCCATCTCTCTCTCCCTTTGTCTCTCCCTCTCGTCCGCCGCTCACCACAATCACCACTCACCACCACCGACCGTCTCTCACTCTCTCTCGATCACTCGAAACCTCAAACGGTGTACCCACTACACAGCTCCTTCTTCATCGCGAAAAACGAACTCTGGTGTGGCATCTCGGCGGCGGCGCAATCGACAAGGAGAGGTGGTGCCGCGACGGGATCTGCAACAGAGACGACAAAAATTAGCGGTGGTGGAGCCCCTGCATGCTCTCCCATGGCTCTGTCTTCTCTTTGCCACCGCTTCCTCTTCATCAAAATGGGCGAGCGGCGAACTTAGTGCTCCAGATCTGGGGAGAAGGCGAGCCCGGTGGCGGAGGGAGCTCATTGCGATCTGCGCGGCGGAGTGCTTGGTAAGGGTGGATTGATGGCCTGTTGTTTTATCAGAGAAAGATGGATGGATTGAAGAGGGTGATATGGGAGAAGGAAGAAGAGAATGGGGAGAGAGAGTGAGAGAGAGCCGAGAGGGCAGAGGGGTAACAAATTAAGAATGTGAAAAAACAATTCTCGGGTTCGTCGGGTTTTCCGTTCCGAACCGAGTTATATTTCGGTTCGGCCAGACCGAACCGAAATATAATTCGGTTCGGAATCGGTTTGGTCTGTGACTATAACTGCGGTACCGGTAATCATCTTTTCGGTTCGGTTTGAACCGAACCGACCGAATGCCCACCCCTACTATACCATATGGTAAAGTATGGTAACGAAATGTATTTTTATGGATATTGTGTTTTACTATGGTCGTAAAGGGTTGTAATTAGATTTATATTATTTTTGTATGGTTTTACCTTCTCATACCATGTGGTATTGTATGGTAATTACAATTAATTTGTGTTCATTCGATTAACCATGTTCTACTATGGTGGTATTGTATGGTAGTTAGATTTACCATATGTTGATATTACCACACTATACCATATGGTATTGGGTGGTAACGAAATATATATTGATATTACCACACTATACCATATGATATTGGGTGGTAACGAAATATATATTGATATTACCACACTATACCACATGGTATTGGGTGATAACGTAATATATATTGATGTGACAAATTTTTTCATACCATATGGTATGGTCAATACCAGTCATTACCATATGGTATAGACGGGTAATAACTGACAAATTTTTTTATGTCCGAAAAATATCAAAGTGGATATCATTTTGAAGAGCACAATTAATCTGATCTAACTGTGCAAAAAAAATTAAATTCCGACTTAAAACGAGTGAGAAATCGTCCGTTAAAGATTAAGAGAAGGAAAATTAAAGGTTGTTTGAGGAGAGAGAAGGCGCTGATGTGATCTGGTCAGCATCAGCGCGTCAGAGACATCATTAAATAGGGGGTGCAATTTTACCTTAGTGCCCCTCTGTGTTTTTTTTAAATAAAAAGAAAAAGCTGACAAGTGGGGGCCAGGGGAAGGGGTTACTGATGGTTACTGATGGTTACTGATGGAATGGTTACTGAGGTAATCCGGACCCCTGAACTCTGGAGCTATTATATATATTTTTATCGATACAAACGTGGCCGCCGGTGCTAGGAAACCGCGCGAGTTGTTATTTTATCTTATCTTATCATCACATCACATGCGACTTCGATCAGGTCCTTAAATAGGCAGACTGCAACCCAAAATCTTTCAGTAAACACAATCACACAGCTCCGCACAAAGCAAATTAAGCAGGAAAAAAAAAAAAAAATGGGATCGAAGCGCTAGTGCTGAGCTCCAACAACCTCTACCTCCTTCCGTGGAGCGACAAGACCGTCGGCGTGGTGGACCCGGGCCGGGACCTCAACAGTCACGACGTCGTACCACGCGACATCGACCAGGGGCGGCAGCTGGGGGCTGGTCGGCAACAACGCCCGGTCCACCCACCGGGAGCTGGAGGTGTTCGGCGTCGTCACCTCCGGGAAGAAGCTGGAGGACCTCTCCACCGACCTCATCAACCACCAGTGCGTCTCCAACCGCGAGGGCTTCATGATCATGTACTTCAACATCGGCGCCGGCGACATGTACCTCAAGAACCCGTCCAGCGTCATCCGCCGCCTCAACGACCTCTTCGACTGGTCCAAGTACGGCGTCACCGTCCCCGTCCCCGTCGCCACCGCGTGGGACCGCTTCGAGGTCAACACCGGCAAGCTCATGGTGGACAAAAACCTGGGAGACGGGAAGAAGGTACGTACGTATTAATGTTTGTTATAAATCAAACCGATTTATGATACTTAATCATTTCTTTATACGTCACTCAAACAAAAAGTAACGGATTAGCTTAAAGTTTGTACAGACTGAGAAGAATCAGAGTTTGGGGGAAAATGCTCGTTAGAGCTTTCCATTGATGCTGAATCAGCTTATATACAAGCAATTAATTACACTTAACGCTAACTAAAATCTAACAAATGAAATGGACCTATAGCTATTGTACACGTGTAAACTATACAGTAAAAACGGAAATAAGGTTGTTAGCCAAAACGGTGCACTTCACTTCCATTCTTCTTCTTCGTAAACGTCACCGTTTGAGGCTCTGCATTCTTCTTTGTTCTTCATCAACAGCAGAGCCTCCATTCTTCTTGACAGCAAGGCTGCAAGATGGATCATCGACCCTCTCTGTTACCCTCCCACAAGCTGTCGAGTATAGGTTATACTCCCAGCTTGGATAACAAAAGAGCAAAGCGATCGATAGGTAAACTTTTTGTAAAGATATCTGCTAGCTGTGATTCAGTTGGCATATGGTGAAGAGAGATCAAACCAGACTGAACACGTTCTCTGATCACATGACAATCCACATCAATATGTTTTGTTCTTTCATGGAATACTGGGTTTTTTGCTATGTGGATTGTCGACTGGTTGTCACAGTAGACCTTGACTGGGTGATCATGTTTAATTGCAAAGTCCCTCAACAACCTGATCAACCACTAAACTTCACAGCTCAGGCTAGCCAAAGCCCTGTACTTGGCTTCAGAAGACGACCTTGACACTGTCTTCTGCTTATTGCTATTCCAAGTGACAATTCCATATCCAAGGAAAGTACAATAGCCAGTAATAGACTTCCTTGAATCAAGACAAGTTGTCCAGTCAGAGTCACTAAACCCTGTAAGAGCAAGAGTGTTCTCCCTTGGATAGAGCAATCCCTAACCTAGTGAGTTCTTCAAATATCTGAGAACTCTATGTAGTGCCCTTAGATGCAGGGAAGTAGAGTTATCCTGGTACTGACATAGCTGTTGTACAGCAAAGCTAATGTCAGGTCTGGTGGTGGTAAGATACTGCAGCTGGCCTACAAGGTGTTTATACTCACCAATGTTCTTCAAAGGAACACCTCCCTCTGCTGATAGCACTTCCTTCACATAGATGGGAGTAGCAGCTGGCTTGCAGTCTTGGAATCCTGACTCATTTAAGAGATCAAGACAATATTTTCTCTGGGATACAGTGATCCCCTTTACTCCTCTTACAACTTCCAATCCAAGGAAGTATTTCAATTTTCCTAGATCCTTCATCTTGAACTCGCCCTTCAGTAGACTCTTGGTATTGTTGATTGCCTCTAAACTGATGCTCCCAATTAATATGTCATCTACATAAACAATCAGTACAACCAACTCTCCAAGGATCTGTGCAGTAAAGATGGAATAATCACAAGCAAATTGTTTGAATCCATGTCTCAACAAGCTCTCTGTTAGTTTCATGTACCATTGTCTGCTTGGTTATTTCAGGCCATAGATTGACTTTTTCAGGTGACAAACTTTCCCTTCTTTAGCTGTCTGATCATCTAAACTAGGTGGTATTTCGGGATGAAATCCCATAATACATATATTTTTAAAAGAAATTCTCAAAATACACACGTTATAAAAAAAATTCCCAAAATATACATGTTTGTGCATCACCGCTGTTGTCAACCGTAGTGAATGCATTCACCGCGGCTGACCAAAGCGGTGAATGCATCACCGCGGTTGACGGCCACGCTGAATGCCTGACGTAACACTGAAATTTCAAACAAACGTAACTTTGCGCTCGATTATCCGATTGTAGAGATTTTTTTTTTGATTCCATATAACTTTTCAAGATCTTTCAATCTGAAGAAAGACTTAATCTCAAAAAAATGTCGTTTGTTACCCCGAACGAGCAATTTTTCGATTTTGCCAAACTTTGGAAGACCATAACTTTTAGCTCCTCAATCCGAACGTCGTAAAGTTTTTATTTACTGCGTATAACTTTTTAGGAACTACAACTTTTACAAGGAAAGAATTTTAAAAAAAGAAATGTTTTTGGGTATACGGGATTTTGGCAATAACTTTGCCTTTACTTTTCACAAATCCACATACTTTCCAAAATTATGGTTATAATAAAAGTTGTAGTACTTCAAAAGTTATGCGAAATCAAAAAAAATATCATGACATTCGGATTGTGGAGCACAAAGTTATGGTCTTCCAAAGTTTGTCAAAACCGAAAAATTGCTCGTTCGGGGTAGCAAACGAATTTTTTTTGGATGAAGGTTTGTCGAAGATTGAAAGATCTTGAAAAGTTATGTGGAATCAAAAAAAAAATTCTCTACAATCGGATAACCGAGCGCAAAGTTACGTTTGTTTGAAGTTTCAGTGTTACGTCAGGCATTCACCGCGGCCGTCAACCGCGGTGATGCATTCACCGCTTTGGTTTGCCGCGGTGAATGCAATCACTACGGTTGACAATAGCGGTGATGGCCAAACATGTGTATTTTGGGGAAAAAAATTATAACGTGTGTATTTTGGGAAATTTTTTAAAAAGCATGTGTATTTTAGGATTATTTCCTGGTATTTCCATCTAGACCTCTTCAGTTAGATCCCCATTCAGAAAAGCATTACTCACATCCATTTGATGTAGGTGCCACCCTTGTGTAGCTACCACTGCTAGGGATGGCAATTTACCCACCCATGGGTAATTTTGCCCAAACCCAAGTAGACCCATTTATTATGGGTAGGGTTTGGGTGATGTGTGTATGGGTTTGGAGTTTGTATATGGGTTTGGGTTAGATCACTACAACAAATTCGACCTATTAGGACAAAAATTTTATTTTGTCATTTTTTGTTTGTCATAATATGTACGATGATATGACCAAAATAATATATGTCCTATTTGGTATGTCTAATGTGACAAAAAAAAAATTGTCAGAATAATTCGTCATTTAAAGTTAGTAATGTGACAAATAATTCGTGTCACAATTAATTTTGTCAAAATAGGCGTCCCATATCGGGATGTAAGAGCCTCAACAGTGACAAATTTCTTTTTGTCAGAATAGTTCGTCATTTAAAGTGATTAATGTGACAAATATTTCGTGTCACAATTAAGTTTGTCTAAATAGGCATCCCATATCGGGATGTAAGAGACACAAAAGTGACAAATTATATCGTCAGAGTAGCTTTTATCATATTATGCCTTCCTGAATTGTTTAAATGACAAAGTATTTTGACACAATAGATAGCAATAATCTCACGACGAGCTGACAAAAGGGTGTGTTTGTCATAATGTAGTGGGTTCGGCTTTGACAAAAGGCATATTCGTCATAATATAGTGGTTTCGTTTTTAACAAAAGGGACTTTCCTCCGATTTGCTTGTGTTAGACTGAAACCAATCGGTCCGACTGACACATTATTCCCCCACCCAAATTTCAGTCCCGCCCAATTTTTAACTATCCACTTTTCAAACACTCCGAATATTTAGACCTCAATTTCAGCCCACCAAAACTTGAAATCCCCTGTCCCCCAACCAAATTTTCATTTACCCTAGGACTCCACTCCTTTTCCTCCTCTTCTCTTCTTTTTATTCGGGGAACGAGAAAGCTGTGGGAGAAAAATAAATACTTGTTTTTAGGAAATAAGGGGACGGTGCTTATAAAAAAAAGAAATAAGTGGACGGGTTATTCCCCATTTCTGAGCAGAAAACACACACTTAGACCTCGCGTTCAATTCACGACGGGTACAATTTTGTTCCCTTTCCTCTGTGCTTCTAAACGATGTCGTTTCGTCAACCATAAGTCATAACCCTAGAAGGAGACGGGTGTCGAACTCTCCTCCCAATTCCTTCTACCTCTCGCTCGACCTCCCATCCCACCATATCCCGCTACCGCTGTTCCTTCTTCCCCCAGACCACTACCAGTCTCGGCGTTCCCTACCCCCAGACCACCACCTACCCCACCCCACCGCCATCATCTTCCTCTCCCTCGAGACAATGACGAACCCCGTCCAAGAAGTCAAGCAGCAACAACGATTGCGCCGCCATCATCTTCCTCTCCCTCCAGACAACCATGAGCCTGCATCCGAGATGTGAAGCATCATCTAACGCTTGTTCCGAGGGCGTTCATGAAGCACTCAATGCGGCGGTGGTCACTGAAGCAACGACCATCAACAACAAATTGCATCACACGAGAACACCAAACTCCACGTAAGGTCCCCCTGATTCTCCTTTCGTATTTTGGGTTTGTGTGTTTTGAGACCGATGATGGGTTAGTTCTTTATTTATCTGAGGTAGAGTCGTGATGTTTCTGAACTTTTGCAAGTTGGGTATTGCGTAGGATAATTAAAGGGATATTAGGTTAGAATTACTCCATTCCACTACTGCTGACTGATTACTGAACTTTCACCGTGTGCAGCAACGAATGGAACAAATACATAACAAATAACGCTTATACCTAGTTTTCTAATTTAGATTTGATTGGTTTTAGAACCCCAAGAGTTTAGCTATGGATCGTGTGTCTTTATTGTTGCTTATATATCCATTCATCCATCTGGTTATGTTTCTCTGGATCACTCCTGTACCTTCTTTCCTAATATGGGCTTATATTGTTCTTACAACCTCCTAAACCCTGATTTCTCAACTTCTTCATCAAACAACGGGTAGAGACTGCCAACACTAACCTCTCTATTCAAATCAATTGAACAGGTGTGCAAACACAACTATGACTTCAACTTGTGTGCCCACGTTCTGCAATCTTATCCCGAAGCATCATCAACAACAACAACAAACATAAAATCCTTAGCCAAAGTTATCCAAGAGATGGCCAAAAAGCAATCAACCATCCTGGGCAAACTCTTTACTGAGCTAAGGAACAACAAAGCTACCAAGCAACCAATCAAGTTGTTATTGGATCTATGTGCCTCCCTGTAAAATGATGCAACTATTTCTTCTCACAAATTGGGTAAGGAGATGTCGCTAAAAGTTTGGAAGTTTCATTCTGTTTTAGATAATTCTGAAT